ACATAGCTCAGATTCAGTCACTTCCCTGACTTGTTGCCCTCTGCTTAAGAGTTGTATTCCTGGAAGAGAGAGCATTGGACCATCATTTTGTCTTAGAGAAGGAGGAAGATTACCTGGATTGACAGTCCTTCTTTGATTGTATACAATTGAAGAGTCAGTTGCTGGGGAACTCTTACCAAATGACTGGAGACAAACTCAGCTAGATATGCCGATCTCCAAGCTCAGTGGAACCTGCTGGAATCGTATAGAAGTTAAGAGCTAACTTGCCTGCATTCAAATTCTGGCTGCTTCTTACATGAGTCATGTCACCTTGGATAAACTATTTACATTATTTGTCCTTTCATTTACTCATTTGTGAAATCAGATAATATTACCCATCTCTTTGATTTGAAACTTAGCCCAGTATCAGATACACAGTAAGGGATTTATATGAGATAGATAGATAGATAGATAGATAGATATCTATCTATCTATCTATCTCATATATATATAAAACATTGAAATATGAATAATAGGCACTATATATATATATCTCCATCCTTACAAAGTACCTATTCAAAAGTTTAGAAGATTGTAGAGTAACTATTTCTTGTCAATAGAAGATAAATCAAAGTGATATAATTACATTAATTTAAAAAGATCGGTGATTTTGCTGTAAATCAGATTGTGTTCCCCAATTCAAATTGGTCCATCTTACTTATAGTTTTATATTGAAGAAATAGTTACTTTTGTTTGTTTTTTGTTGGGAGAAAACCCTTAGCTAAATTCAAACTATTTACCTTATTATTTGTTTTTTAAGCTGATGTTGATTTTGTCTAGAAAGCAAACTTCACAGCATCAGCACTTATACAATTACTTATATCCCAAAGAATGCCACATATGTATGTATCATACATTATAAGATTTAGTTGGTGCTTACTGTATCAGCCTAGTAACAATAGGAATCCATAATTTCATAGAGTCATTAATCATTCTTACTCTTTTAACAATAAGCTTGACAGAATGGATTGTCATATAGAAGTCAATTTTCAAATAAACATGATGAAGTAAACAACAGAAAAAGTGAGAAAAACACACTAGACAACCTTTATTTTTCAGTAAATTTGTCAACTTACCTTTGTGGTTAAGTTCAATAGAATTCTTACTTCTGTTCTTGAATTAATAGTTTCCTGTGGTGGCTTCTAAATAGTTATCCATAGCTGAAGGTTTTAAATGTTCTCACGGAAACAAAATCAATCACCTATCTCTAGATTAAGAGGACTAGCAAAAATAAGACCCAAGCCCCACTTTCCAAGTCTTCCCTACCATACCCACAGAGAAAGTACTTCCAGCTGGTATCTCCCTTCTGTTCAAAAAGACAGCATTTGGAGGAGGTGCCCAGAGTGGTTTTCACTGAGCTACTTGCATCAGTTAGGCTCCCAACATGGAAGCAGAACCACCATGAATTTTCTAGTATAAGGAATTTATTTCAAAAATCAAGTCTTACACAAACAAAAATCAACAAAACGTTTACTCACTTAACCCCTAGCCTCTAAGAACAAAATGAAGTAGAATAAATCCACAGGGAGAAATGGATTTATCCAAATACTTATACAAATATAAAACTTCAGTAGTTGGGGCAAAAAATGAATGTATTCCAGAAGTAAGAGTTGTTTCTAGTAGCCCTAAAAAACAATGGTAATTGAAAAAAAAAAAAATAAAAAAAATATATATATATATAGTTTAAAAGCAATTATAGGGGCACCTGGGTGGCTCAGTGGGTTAAGCCTCTGCCTTCGGCTCGGGTCATGATCTCAGGGTCCTAGGATCGGGCCCCGCATCGGGCTCTCTGCTCAGCAGGGAGCCTGCTTCCTCCTTTCTCTCTCTGCCTGCCTCTCTGCCTACTTGTGATCTCTGTCTGTCAAATGAATAAATAAAATCTTTGAAAAAAAAAAGCAGTTATAAGCTGGTGGTGATTAAAATTTAAATCTGATTATTTCCCCCTAACTTCTGACACTAAGAATAAGTCTGAGGAATGCAATTTTCTCCAGTCTTCACTAGTTTACAGGTGTAACTGGAAAGAAAACATGGTAATAGGAATCTGGCTCTTGATAACATCTTCCCAAATCACTTCTGCCGCCCACCACAGTTTGATGTTCTTCTGAAGGCTCTCATATGTTTGCAAAAAGTCAGCTCCCCCAGGTGTTGCTCCTTCTTTGCCAGCTATGTCCTGGATTCTGTTGTGTCTGACTGGCACTGGCCGTCTTTCCCCAGGCATCTGGGGGCATTGCCATATCCTAAGGACTCTCCCCAGTGCTGCACAGAACAAGATTGAAAGAAGTCATGCTCAGCTGCCCCAAAGTGACGTGAGAAAATACTCTTCACTCCCATTTTGCCTTTTGTTTTGCATTCCCAAAAGTTTAGTTCCCAAGTAGGACTGTGTCCTCAGAGTGCCTCGTGAAAACTTATCTCCCTGCTCCTATCTGTAGTTCTCTCTCCACACTGCTCTGATTCCAGAATAATCTGGAGTGGGGATGGATTTGGATACAGACTGAAGGGTGCCTTCATCTTTCCTCTGGCACCCTATCTGCTTCATAATATTTAGGTCTCTGAAGTAGCACAATCCAATAGAAATGGAATGTGGCTATGGATACAGTTTAAAATTTTATTTTTTAAACTATTAACTTTTACCTAAAAATTTAGAGACATAGATGAAATTAATTATAGTAACATTTTCTTTAACCTATTATCTTCCAGGTATTGTTTTAGCATCTAAAGTACAAAAATAGTTATTAATGATTAAGTTGACATATTTATACTAAACCTTTGAGATCCTATGTCTACTTTATACTTAACAATGCATCTGTCGATTTAGACCCGCAGCATTTTAAGTGCTCAAGAACCATACACAGCTACTGGCACTATATTGGACAGTGAAGCTCTTAAAGAGCCAGGAACCCCATTCCACCTAGGTTGATGCTAAAACAACTTAATTTCCCCGTCAACACTACATGTAAATTGAAATAGCTGAACAGTTTCTTGGAAAATAACAATAAATGACTGTCACTAAAAATAACTTTCATTCTTCAGTTACATGGATAGTCCACCTTCTCATTCTTTACTATTGCCTTTGATGTTTGTAATGAACATTAATATATTAAATTCAAGGCTTCCAGAGTCATAGGCAGATAAGTTCTTTAGCTCTGGGAAGTATCTGGGTCCCTTTATGATTTTTTTTTTAACAAAGTAAAATCTAAAGTTCTTCCTACTCAAAACTTCTCTTCAACAGATATGTCAAAAATGACAATATCTACTGGTGCTAAGACATTATTTCATGATGGGGAGTTGGCTATCTTGACCCGACCGAAAATGTGGACACCTAAGCTTTATTTTAGATATTTATATCTTGCTCTGTATGAACTTAATCATTCATTTAAATTCCCAATCTTGTGGCTAGCTGAGAACCTAATTTTTTCTATGAAAAGAGTTCAGAGATGATAAGGAATTATAAATTAAGCGAGGAAATCAGGCCTTTAAAAATCATACTTTTGGTACTACTCTATAACTATTTTTGTTGTCAGTAGGTTATGCTGAACTTTAACCATTTGTTCTCTCCCAAGTAATGACCATCCCTGTGTGTACAAGTTGTAGATGGTGGAATAAAGGGACAGTGTCAATTCCAAGACAGAACTTCAAACTCTCCAATAAGTGATCTTAAAGTGACACGCATTTAGCTTTTTAATCCTGAGAATTGTTTTTAAGGAAGATGAAACCTCTGCCCTTAGCCATTTGGCACTCATTTGGAGCATTATGTAGAAGAGTTTGTAGGTGCCTTACCTGGCCATCTGATCTGGACCTTTAAGTTCAGTCTAGAAAAATAAACATCCGGAGAAGTTTAACTCATTTCCTATTCATGTATGGTTTACTTGCATCTTAAAAAAAAAAAAAAAAAAGCATTACACCACCAGCTCTTTCTGCACTAAGATACAGGGTATCTGTGCCTTTGCTGGGTGATTTAATGGTCACTAAACAGCAGGAAAGAGTGCTCACCTCAGCAGAAGATGGGAACGCAAAAGCTCGGTAACATTGTCGGAGCACAGCTGGGTGGTTAGGACATTGGCCAGTAATTACTAGCCAGTGCAAAAGAATGAATTCTAAATGAGAGGATGAAAAGACCAAGGCCTTGGGGATTGGATTTTTCAGAAATAATTAACATAAATCAAGAGACAGGTTAGGTTTGACCAAAATACAAGAGGAGACATATTTTTAAGCTTTTTCTATGTCAACATGAAAATGTCTGCAGCAGCACTTGGATGCATTTCCTTTCAATTCTGTCACAGCTGCAGTGTTCTATTACTGCTATTGTTAATAATAACAACAGTAAGATTTTCCGTAGTAGCTTTCTCCTCAAGTCTTTAGGACATCAGACAGGAGCTTCCAAATTCTGTGGATAACGCTTAACCTGATGAACATTACAAAATGTGAAATTAGTGAAAAAGAACAAGGTGTTATCTTGTGATAGGAAAAGAGAACAAGAGATGAGTTAGAACAAAACAGAATGAAAAAAGCAAAGGGAGAAATTATCTGTTAATAACTAGCTAACATAGCAGACAAATTCACACTCTTTTGGCCAGGCTTTTCTGGAATAACTTGGACATGTTAATGAGTAGTCGTATTTGAAAGCCATCACATAAGACTTTTAAAAATTAAAAGCTATAACCAGTTTTACTTCCTCTAAACTCTAAACTTAGGCCAAGTGTTAAATACACCATAACCATAAGGTAAACTGGGAAGGAACTGAGCACTAGAACTTTTCACATGAAGTTGAAACAGAGGCTTAAAAAAAGATGAAACAGATGGAAAGGGAACAATTCTTTAAAGAAGTCGTTGCAGCTTCTGTTAGGTAGTGTTCGCCTTGGACATCTGAGATAGACTCCTGAGGTGCTACCTGCTTTTGTCTCTGTCTTGATTTTCAGATTCATGAGCCTGTACTGGGTAATCATGGACAACACTTACCAGATGGCTGCTCCAGGCCAAGCCTTTTTCTAAGCACTTTACATGGATTAATGATTCAGTATCACATCCTCATGAGGTAAGTGGCATTATTATCCACCCAACATTTTGGATGAGAAAACCAACATTCCGCAAAGTTTAGGGACTTACCACACAACACATAGCCAGCAGGTTGTGGAGCTGGAACTTGAGTCTGACTTCAAGGCCCAACTTTTTAAGCACTACATTATACCGATAAAAGTTGTAAATAAAGTTGCCAGGAACTGAGGAACCAGAGCTGGTTTGCTGGGAGCTTTATGCGGATGCTGCATTAGACGAAACAGAATAATCCATACTCGTTTCTATCTCTAAGAAGTAAAATTCTACCAGGGCCTGGTGACATCCCATTTTCATTCCTCTGCATACTCCCTTTGCCAATATGTGTTCCTTCTTTCCATCTACCTTGAATCTGGCTTCACACCACTTTATGTGTATATTCATATAAACTCTAGCTATCATTCAGTTAGCCATTTTAAGTCCTTAGGGTAAGCTGGATGTATCATATTTCTTTAAAAATTAAAACAGTGCTTTCCAAAATGAGGTAGAAATGCATAATGGAAAAAATCTTGCCTAAATATCTGTAGTGACAGGATTTTATGCTCTGCCATCAAATGAGAGCCCAACTCAAATGAGGTTTGTCCAGGTATCAGACAGTTTGACCCAGCTTGCATCAGTTTATTTTCACCATTCCAAATGGTCTTATTGTTGGGCTGAAATAATTATCAGCTAAGAGACTAGAAGAGTCCAATAGAAGTTTGGAACTCTCACAATCAATACTGGTGGGTGTAAAGTCCCACTGGGAAACAATGAAAAATGTACTTGCTAGATTTCTAACAATAGGTCAGATTATTGCTGTGGCATTTCAGAAGCAGAGGCTTCTGAATTGTGTATTGCCGTATGTGCTGTTCTTTCTGTAGAGTGGTTGTTTTTGTTCCTCTGTTTTCTCAACATTCTTTGGGAAGAAGAGTAGGAATTAACATCAACAGCTCGTGGCTTATGTTTTGATTTCCTTCTTCTAAGTAAGCTTCTTCATTAACGATAATTAAAATGAATGTGCCGCCTTCTTACTCAGCCAAGGATTTCTGTTTGGTCCAACTATATAGAAATATAAGATATCAAGAAGAGATAGAATTGGGGAAATTAAATAGCCTTCTGAATTAGTCAAAAATACCTAAAAGTTATGGTTAAACCTCAGCGTGGAGAGTGTTAGAATGTGACTGTCTACGTCAGGTGAATATGAAATACAAAGCTTTTGGGGGTTAATCCTTGTCTCCTTCAGAAATATCCTTAGGCCAAAAGGAAATGAAGCAGTGAGGCAATAAATGGCTTGAAAGAATTTTTACTTTTTCTTTAGGCAATGGGGAATCACTGAAGGATTTTAAACAGGAATTTTGGTCATAAGTTAATTTTGGAAAATCCTCTTTCATAGAAGATGAATTGGAGAAAGCTGAGGCTAATAACCATAAGAGCAAGGGAGGATGTGGTGGAGTTGGTCTGGTGGATCTCAGTGGGAGAACTTTTTCCCCTACTGGGGATGGTTACCCACATCAAGAGATATTTTGGGTTTTCACGACTAGGGAGAAGGGGTGCTTCTAACAGTATCCATTTGGTAGAGGCCAGGGATGTATCTAAAAATACTACAATGCCTAGTACAGCCTGCCACTACCAGGAATTATTCAGCTCAATTTGTCAGTAGTGCCAAGTTGAGAAATCCTTTAGTCCATGCAAATGATAATGAGGGGCTAACCCAAAGTTGTAAAAAGTAGGAACAAATATTTTTAGGATATACAGTCAATCAAACTCAAGAAGTGATCAGTGAGAGAATGTGGTCAATAAGAGAAACTGTGTGGTATTATAATGGGTATTGGACATGGATATTGGAAGATTCTTGGGTCAATGTTACCTACATGCAAAGAAGGAAGTGAGTGTGGAAAGAAGGAATTTCAGTAAAAAATGATAGGTTGGGAACAGGACATTGAATTGCAGGTGACAGAGACATTTTATCTGCTTCACATTAAATTGTATAAGTCTGAAAATGAGAATAGAAGCCTATTTTGAAGATACAGATTAAGAGGGTATCAACAGATAGCACTTGTAATTAGGGGAATAGATAAGATGCCAAAGAGAAAGGATGTGGGAATGGAAAAATAAGTAATGTTGAGGGAGGGCAAATGAGCAGGCATGGTTAGAGACTGAGAAGTCATGTTTGGCAATAAGGAAGGAGAACATATTCTGTTAGTACATCTCTGCTAGCCATCAGTAGCCCCAAATTTGAGCATCTATGGCCTCCCTAAGTTCTTTTATTCTTAATAATTATTAACCACACAGGAATTCTCTTTATGTGAAGAGGGAAAACAGAGGAATTCCAAATTGCTATTAGATAGGCATTTTAAAATAAACAAAAAGATAGATATTCACAAGAAATGAATATGAACATCCTTTGATAAATGAAAACACTTGCTACAAAAACTTCAGCAACAACTTCTAGCTGCCAGTAACAGTTGTTTGATTAATTATAACCTATAATAAAGACTTGATAAAGTTTCATAATTGATTGTTAGGTTTTAATGTATTTTTTATGCCCTGTTTTTAATGCTAACTTACTCTGTTTAAGAGAAATCTTCATAAAATTAATTTTCCAGTTACTTTAGTCAGGAAGTAATTAAGGATATGACAACATATCTTGAATTAACGTATTTTGAAATAATAAATATCATGGTAGAAGATTGATCTCAGCCAGTAAGAAATAAATACAAGTTGTGTTTATCTTCTGTCACAGATGCTACTCTCTATTTCTTAGTAACATCTATCTTACCTAAATATATTTTCTAACAAGTTATACAGTGATACTTACTAACCATAAATAGATTAGCATTGCTACATATAACTCAGATAAAAGGGAATTAGCAACAAATTTGTTACTTCAGGTATCACATCCTAGCACATACTTTGTGTGCCCACCTTTACCTTTAAATTCTAAAATGTGAGGTTAAATATGTGAGTTAGATCTTCATTTATGTTCATGATAAATCCATTATCTCTGTCACTCATGCATTTATTTTTAGTTTTAGTTTTTTTCTCCTGATAATGGGTCCTGTTCTTTTTGCCTCTTTGCCTTCTTACTAATATTGTATTGGATGCTAGACATTGTGACATTACATTACTGCATGTCTAGAGTGTCTTGCTTTCTTTCAAAGAATATTGACATGTATTTAGCAGGTACTAAAGTAATTTTGGGTCGACTTGATATTTTTGAGGAAGAAATGCTGACACTGTTTTGTTGTTTGAGGCCTGTTTTTACTGTGTGGTCGTTGTTCCAATGTAGCTTTACTCTAGGGCCTCTTTAATCCTGCTGCTAAAACATTACTCTTCAGGAGTCTATACCAGATCCTCTGAGTATTCAACAAGATGCCTCCAATCTGCCTTGTTATAACTTGTGTATTCCCAAGACTTATGTAGGCTCTGCTAATTGTACATGCTTGGTGATCCTTTGCCAACCAGATCAATTTTTGTTCCATGGCTGTGCAGATTAATATTCAGCATTAGACTCATTGTGAATCCTACAAAGATTACTGGTGCTACTTCTCTGTGTAGATCTCTTCCCTTTTACTAGTCTGTCCCACAAATTCCAGCCACCTTAACCTCCCTAAGCTCTGAGTTCTGTCATCTCATTTTAGCAAGACTGGTGTGTGCTCTGCTTGAGAGCCCCTTCTTGGGTCATGATCCAGAATATGCCTCTAGGCAGAAGACTGGGGAAATCATGGTGCCCATCCTGTTCATTTTCTTTTGTCATAGATAACAGCCTTGGGCTGCCTGTTTCTAATGTCTGAAAACAGCCTTTCCTATATTTTATGTAGTTTTCTACTTGTTTGTGGTAGGAGGGCCTGTCTAGGACCAGTTACTCTCACAATGAGAAACTGAATTAGAATTGCTTTTTGAGAACTTATTTTTGAACAGAAATTTTTAAAAACGTAAAACTGCTATTTTGGATACCAATGGTAAATATAGCTACAAAAATATCAGTTAATATAGCTTTGGGAATGATCCTGTGAAAAATAAAATGTACAGTGACAATGTTCAGCATTACCTGTGTCACTACAAATTTCAAAATAATGAAATGCTCTGGTGATGGGAAGAAATGATAGCATTAATTTGTTTTCACTGTAAATAATGTCCTGTTGTTCTCACTTTCTCTCTCCCCCTCTTATGGTATTTTCAAGAATATATGTTATATAATTATCTTTTGCTTTATAAGTAGATTGGGGAGGGGTATGGAGGAAACATTTGAACCCTGGCTACACATTAGAATCACCTGTAGATCTTTTAATATATACTTATATCTTTTCTTTTTTACAGCTTCTGATTTCATTGAACTGGGGTAATATTCAGGTATGGGGAGATATATATCTATATATATGTATATATAAATATATTTTATATCTATCTATACTTTAATCTCCAGGTGATTCTAAAAATGACATAGTCTTGAGAGCTACTCAAATTGTGTTCTATGGAACAATAAAACCAACATCAACTGGGAGGCTTTTTGAAATGCAGAATCTCGGGCCCTGCCCCAAAGCTACTGAATCAGAATCTATATTTTAACACTATCCTCAGATGACTCATGTGCATATTTAAGTTTTAGAACATTCTTTAGTTGACAAAGGTATATTTATTGCCTTCAAGGAATTCAAAATGTAAGTGGTGGAGCATTTAGACCTGTGATAATCCCCAAATCAGGCCTAACGTCAGAATCAAGTGGTCTTTTTTTAAAAATGCAGATTCCTAGGCTCCCACCTAACCCTGGTCCATGAACGACTCTAGGCATGAAGCATAAACCTTAGGCATCTGTATGCTTATTATATGTTCTAAATTGTTCTAAAAATTAAGGAAGGTTGGGAAATAAAGTAAAATAAGGACTCAATCTTTCAATATTTTGCCTCTACTAAAAGTCCTAACCTGGCAAAGAAAGAAGGGCTCTCATTAAAGTTATAATAATGGTAGATACATATATATATATTTTTAACACAGAAATTGAGT